TTTCGGCCCATAGAAGGTCCTATGAGAGATAAAAAATAATTCAATATATAGAAAAATCGGGATTTTATTACTTCAATGCAGACTATTAGCTATCGTAATTATCTCATACTCCAATTAATTTTGTGGTACTTTCACGTACTATAATTACGCATATTTATTGTCAAAATTGATTTCGAAAATTTTATATATGTGTAATTTTTCAAAAAAACCTGTTAGGTTAATTTAGAAAAAAAAAATTGGAATCAAATTTTTTAAATTTATTCTTTTTTCAAAAAATTTTTAAATCTAAAATCAAGTGAACATATGAACAAGTGAATATTTCATTTATATGAGAGTTGAAATATAAGTCGAAATATAATACGCATTTTCCCAAACTGATTTCCCAAATTAAATTTTTCATATTGTTAGATCTTGCAAAAAAATCTGAAATAATTTATGTGATTGCATAAAATTAAATTGCATGTTTAAAAATATTATAAATTTTCTTCGGCGGGAAATTTGAACTTAAAAAATTCTTAAAATTTTAATTCGATTTTTTTCATAAAAGATCAACTGACAATACACAAAATTTGAGGTAATTTGTCACTTTAAGGTGGAAAAGTCGTTGATATCTATGTCCTGTGAACTGTTCAATATTTTGTCAAAACATTGCTATTTTTAATATATTATTCATACAATTATTTTTATATCTGATATCCTAGCTAATTTTTGAAATATTTAACTTTAAAAGTTGGCATCCTCCTATCTTGAAACATAGAGTTAGAGTAGCGCCACCATATAAAAAGAGACAACACGTTTTTGGTCCGTGCTATTTTATATGGCTCTAATGAATTATCTCTATGGTTCTATGGATTATACTCTAATCTATGCGTCAAGATTGGAGAATGCCTCAAATTTTGTGTACACAGTACAGTAGTATACATACACACCTAAGCATACAAATTTTATCAAAGAATTTCATGGTCGAAAACAAAACGCAAAACCGCTAGAGGGAGTCAAAGTTTATGTTCTTATATGAGGCAAAAACACACAAAGAACGATGAAGTTAAGTTATAAAAGCAAATTTAATGGCATGTGATTACAGTAGGTGTTCAAAACAGTGGCCGGCAGCGGCTATGCACGCAGTACAACGGCGAAGAAAAGAGAGGCGAACATTCTGAAACTCACCAGGTATATCACGAACTTTCCCTGCAGCTGGCCGAAAGCTTGGCGACAAGTAACACAGCGCAGTAACTCGAAACAGGAATGGAGCTTTCACGTTTGCATCAAACAATTTTCCAAATGCGCCAGCACCTTTGCGTTTCGTTTTCGACCATGCATTCTTTGATAAAAATTGTTTGTTTGGGTGATGTGTACTATCACTTCCTAAAATTTTGTCCATCTTTTATCTATATATATCCATCAATCCATATATATATATATTCATTCAATTTCCAAATGCATTTTTTAAAGTTTGTAGAATATGACACTTGATGTTAATAGAGTTTTTTTCAAATATTAAATTTTTTTATGTGTGAGAAAAAATTGTAATTATTTAATAAAAAGTAATTTAAATAAAATTTTTCGTTGCTGACTTAAGTAGTAATTGGCATTAAATTTTTTTTTTTTTTAATTACTTGTTTTTCTTCTTCAAACAAGTGATTAAATTGTTTTAAATTGCTCAACTCCGAAGAGATATTATCTAATATTATAATAAAAATCCATTATTATTTTTACATGATAGAAATTCCACGAATGGTTGACGTTCCCAAGAGAGTAACAGGAAGACAAGGTAAAATGATACTTTCGATACCTGTTATTTTGTCATTTTTGTAATATATATATATATATATATATACTTATGATATTTCTTTTTCAGACAAGTGCGGTGTTTGTCCGTCAGCAAAAAAGAAAGTGAATCTAAATAAATTCTGCAAAAGGGATTTTGGTAAGTAAAAGATATTCAAACATTTCACTCAATGAGGAATACTTTTCGTTTGTTTCAGCTCAGTCTATGGATACGTCATTAAAATAAATTGTCCCCCGTAATATGCATTTTTAGAATCCTTGTCAAAATGGAAGTGCATACATATAAGGCAGTGTTTCCTAAACTTATGGCTTTTGTGTACCTTTTCTAAATTTTTCGTAACGCTGTGTACCACTCATAAAAAAAAATGAATGTAGTTTTACTATAAAAATATTGCGATAAAGTTAAAAGTCACAACACTAATTATTAGTGGTATAACAACGCTAATAATAGTGATATCACAACTCTAATAATGAGTGGTGTCTGTTGACACCATTGATTATTAGCTGTTAACTCTGCAAAAAATAGCCAATAGAAAAATACATAATCGTAAATTTTCATGGCTAGCCTTGTTTTTAAATAAAATACTTGACATTTTCGTCTGATGCAAGATATTTCGAATAAGAACGCATACCCCCACTAAACTGTTCCCGCACGCCTGGGTGTACACGTACGACACTTTGGGGAACACTGATATAAGGGATCGGATCAATGAAAAACGCTATCGGTATCTGATGAACCATTGTGATGGCATCAAAACCTGTTAGACGTCAAAAACGGATTGAAAAACGACTATTGAAAACATTTCATCCCCCAGTTCATTGACCCTCAAGCCTTACTAACACCAAGAGTTACTTAACACCCCGTTGGTGAAACACCAAGGTTCCAATATACTATATATATATATATATATATAGTTAAAAATTGTTTTTTGCCGGNTTCGCCGAAGTATTGATATATATATATATATATATATATATATATATACCACAAGGATCTAAATTTACATCTCTCCTAGCTCAAGTGTAAATTAATAAAAGAAAAGTTAATAGTAAGATCTTGAAGCTTATATACATCATTATTCTTAAAACAGAAAACAAAATCTTTCATTGGTTTAATATTGTAATGTTTATTAAAATCTTTTTTTTTTCCATATTAGAAATACAATTTACATTTAATTTGTCACTATTAAGAGAGTTTTTATTACTTCCTGTTGCTTTATGTAAGAGGTTAAAAATTAAAATTAGCAATATACGGTTTCCTTATTTAATAGTCCTAAATTTCATAAAATTCCTATAAAATTTAGAACAATCATGGATCTAATACTTACCTAACTAAACCTCGCACCATTTTCTCCAACTACTTAAATAAAATTATTAACAATATTATTAAAAGAAGTTTTTTTTTTGGATTACCACTAGTAATCAACAGATTTTAAAATTTGTTAAACATAATAAAATTAATTCTATTGCGACTTGATTTCCAGGATTTTTTCAATAGCATTCTTCTTTCTAAACTAAAAGATGTCCTTTTGAGTTATTACTATGATTTTAAAAATATTCTTATTTAAGATTTTGATTATTGGGAAATTCTAATTAATTTTTGCCTTTTTAATAATTATCTTTACAATCGAAAAGATATTTTTATTTAAATTTATGGAATACCGCAAAGATCTAATTTTTCATCTCTCTTAGATAATTTATTTTTTAACTACTATGAAAAACAATTATACTCTTAGTATTAAATTTGTTTTTAGATTTATTGATGATTCAATTGTCTATAGTTTTCAAAATTATACAATTTTGTTAAATAGTATTTACCCTGAGGAATTAATCTTGCTTCGTAATTACGACGATATTTTTTTTTTTTTGGATTTATCTATTACAAAAGAATAAAATAGCTGCATTGTTGATTAATACCATAAAAAAAAATTATTTTAAATTTAATATGAGTAAAAATAATTACATGGAAATCTGATGTATCTAAAAACATTTATTTAAATACCATTTTTAATCAAATGAATAGAATTAAAAGACTATATAGGAATGCCTTTTCTTACCAAAAACAAACTCTTCCAAAATTTGATTAAAAACACTGGATTTGACTACTGTAATTAAGTTCTATATAAAATCATTAAGTTAATCGTATGTTATTATTAATAATAAATTTATTAAAAATGTCTTTGTTAACTGAATTTATATTTTTACCATGCGCAAATCCAATTTGGGGAATTCAGTAGATAAAAATCTGCAGAAGTGTTATAAATATTTTTTTTAATAAACGTTACAATTTTTTCTAAAATCATTAAAATTGTATAATTAAAAATCAACCTTATTAATCTTAAACTTCGAATTATCCAGTATAGTATTATTACCTTACGCACATCCAGTTTCGGGCCAATCCAAGGTAACTAACAAATCAAACATGCTTCAGTACTTCAATAAAAACGTGTCATAAAAATATCCCGCTACTTTTCATTCACAATAAAACTACGCCACTGTTACGCTTTGAGGTAAACTAAATACACTTATAAGTACAAAACTGTAGCTCTCGAGACTGCGGATATATTAGTGCGGATATATTACTAAAAATAACCTTGTTTTTCCATATATTGATTCAAATACGCATTAAAAGATTTGTTACTAGTAAATAAGCAAAAAAGGAATAAATAACAGTGATAAAATAAATAAAAAATGTGACTAAATGTGGCAACAGTAAGGCAATTTTAGTTCACCTCAACACCAAAAATGGTGCCAAACTATACGCCAAAAGTTTTTACAGCGTATACCACACCCATTTAAGCGCATCTTTAAGTAATCATTTCATTTCTTTAAAATAAAATATTATAAAAATACATTGACAAAGATGAATCTTGAGATGACTCTTAAAATTACTTTTATTTACTTGGTGTGCGTTTCGAATGAATTCTTTTGAAATGTTATACTATATCAAATATAATTTCATTTCTAATATTCTTTTCAAGAACATCAGGGCACAAATATTTTTAATACCTATTCTATATTAGTTACCAAATTAAAGCCTTTTAAGAATACCTAAAATGGCTGTGTAAAAGGAGGCGTCACCAGTTTGGTGTGTAAGTATAAAAAGTTATATATAGTTGTATATAGTTATATGTATATAGTTATGTTATAGTTGTCACCCTATTTGGTGTTTGTGTACAAAAGTGTTTCTTTTTTCAGTGATTCAGGCGACCGTCTTGTCACGTGAGGCGACGGGAAGTTGGGTGAAGTTCACCATCCACATCATGCAAGTTTTCAAGCAGGGTAATGCCAAAGTTCACAGGGGGACGCAGATTCTTTGGGTGAGCGTCGATGACCTCGCGTGCAAGTGTCCCAAAATAAAAGTCAAGCAAACCTACCTCTTATTGGGTATGTACGATTCCTGTCCGTTATTTTATGACATTTAAACGAAACTCTAATTCTCGCCGCTCTTCACTCGCGAATCAGTAACGAATTTCAATAGCCATTAAAATGGCGCGAGCACTTTACAAAAAGGAAATTTACTTGTTCGTAACACTCTAAGAGGGCACTTTGTGTTACAAACTCATTTCGTACACAAAGTGCCACTCATTTCGAGAGTGGCACTTCACTCATTTCGAGATCAGTCCAAGAACACACGATCGAGCCATGATGGTTCAAGAGATAGAGCGTTCGCCTTCCAATGTCGTGAACCGGGTTGGAATCTCAGCAATGGCTGGTCGATACGAATTCCGCATCCGTCTAGCACCGATCACAGTGCTGACGTAAAAATATCCTCAGTGGTAGAAGAATTATGGGTTAGAGTTCAGGCTAGCCAATGGGAGGTTTTCGTGGGTTTCCTCTCCGTGTAGCGCAATTACGGATTAGTTGCATCAAAAAGTGCTCCACGAAGGCAAATTTTTCCCAATACTTGATCCAGGAATTCCCCTGTCTTCTGGATTGGGTTTAACAATACGGCGTTGAACATTAGTTGTCGTAAACCTAAAAATTGGGTCGGTTGTACAACGACGGTTATAAAATAAAATAAAAAGGACACACGATGTTCTAAGATGACTTTCGTGTGTTTTGCAATCGATCACTTTCTCTGTACCCTCTAATGTTTCAACTATTATCTTAATTTAACTTCCGATCGAAGTTTCGATGATTTTCCGATAGGAACTAAAATAATAAAGTACAATAATAATGATAATAAATAAAAACTACATTTTTTAAGAAGGAAATGATTTTAAATTCGTACATCACTTTCGTTGTAAAAATTTGAATCGAGAATTCTCACCACGTCTTTTGTTTTAGGTGTGACTAAAATAGCTTGCCGTTATGCTGGACACATCTTGAAGTGAGTGTTTAAGAAATGATCGCTGCTCAAAATGCGTGTTTAACAAAATGGACACATCTCTAGAAGTGTGACGAAAATGGACGCAAATAGAAATACGTGTTTAAGAAAATGGACACAGTTAAAAATGCATGTTTTAAAAATGGACGTGACTGGAAATGTATGTTTATGAAAATAGACAGAGCAAAAAAAATGCGCCTTTTTCAATGTTCAACCTAAATTTAACAACTGAACGAGAAATTTCGACTTCACTTTTTCTCACCATTACAGAATATTTTAAGACTAAGCAAAATCATGAAAATCTGAGGGTATTACAGATTTCATTTCTCAGGCGATCTCTGCGTATTCTAAACGATAAAGTGATTTTTAAAATTTAGAATTCGTAAAACGTAATACCATTATTATAGCAATTACTTAATACCAATAGGTCCAAAATAGAACTTTATTTCCCCATAAAAATGCTCCCAACTATTCTTTCGATCGACTCGTATATTCATTCGATTCAGCGGAAAGGAAAATACAAAAGTCTCACTTGTTTAAATATCGGACGGTACTTTTTGTACCCTTTTTTCACACTTCGTTGATTCAGTATGAAAAAATAAATTCTGTCTAAAAAAAAAAATTCCCGCTCTAATGACACTCTCGAAAAGGATGTGGCATAACAAAGATTTACAGTCTCTGGTCAAATTATTACACGCACTCTCTGTAAAATCTTAATTATCAGCTGATACTATACAGCTTTATTGTTTTTTCGAGACTGTTTACACTAGTTTACGTTCGTGTATTAATTGGTTAACATTGTAATGCAATACGTTAAAAATAAATACAAATAGGAAGTAGATAAAAAGTCCCTTAAATAAATTTCATGTGTGTTTAAATATAAAAGTATTTCATTTAAACTCGTGCAAAACATGTCATTATTAAAAGACAACAGTCATAATTTGGTCTAATTATTATGCTATACTAATATAATACCTGATACAATAAATATTCTATTTTTACATAATATATGGCCTGATTTATTCAATTGTCGAATTTATATCATTTATCATCTAGATGATACACTAACGTAAACAAGTGCAAACAGTAGCCTAAAAACAAAAAAATAGTGCGAGGAGTCCCTCCGCGCTGAAGAAGTTAAACTTCGTAACCTGCGACGTTAATTGTAGAAGAATCAGCAGTCGTAGAAGGATCACTAGTTCTATATTAGTTGCATCAAACCTGCTCCGCTCGCTTCCGTGCTCTGTAATAACGGTAATATTGTGCATTTTTCCCTCGTGGACCTCTTGAACCAGTGGAAGTGCTTGTGGTTGCCTCATCGTCTCGCCCTGGAAAATGTATTTGTATTAATAATGTATGTGAATGCGTCATAATGTAATTTCAGAAGAGAAAACCTAACAATCAATTGATATTCACAAGAGACGCACCTTGACATAACCTTAAATCCGTCGCATTGTTTTCACTCATTTTTTACAATTGTTATCCACTAAATTTGAAAATAAAAAATACTACCCTATTAAATTATGTGTGTATCAAAACAAACTAAAAAAATTATTTATAGAAAAACAATACTTTTTGAGTATTGAGTACAGTTAAGTGCGGTGAGCTGTCTGCTTAACGCTTATAGCTCTGCGTTTTGAGAATACTTTTATGACTTTTATTATTTTTATGCTAGTGAGAACCAAAACAATATGGAAATGAATGAGGGAAAACTGGATCCTACCACGTGATTTCCCGGCCTATAAAAATGTAGCGTTAAACGTTTAATGCAACCTTGTTGGAAGTCGCATAAGAAGTATAACTTCAATAAAGCTGTATAGTATCACCAGACAATTAAGATTTTACATAGAATCTTATAGTGCGTCTAGTAATTTAGACAGGTACTGTATATGAGAATAAAACATTAAGTGAATGTTTTTTTTCTTCCAGGTAAAGACGTGAGACACCCGGATGAGGCCGGACTCTCGGTGGACAATAAGAGTATCGTCATTGAATGGAAGGACGAATGGGCAAGAAGAATGAGACGATACCAGCGCAGGCAGAGGAAAGGAAAGTGCTAAATTTGATCACCCCCAAAAGAGAGTTCAGTACAAAGTTACAAATGCTGAAATATATGCAAATGATGTCATGGGTGTTTGTATTATGAAAAACATTTCTTTTTTCAGCATTTGAAAGGGTTCACCTCACTTTTCTCTAAATTCCAAATTTGCTATTAAAAGTCTAACACAGGCCATTCATTCGGAAGTCATTTTTTCTTTTAAAAAAAATTGCATCCGTTTGAGTTGAAATGATTTAACATATTACGAAACTTCTAATCACAAAGGAACTCTACATTTTCAAACATACAAATAGAAATTTTTTTGTATGTACGTTTTTATAGTGTTGGAACAGTTTGTGTTAAATTATTTTTTTTAGGCATCGTTACCTTAAAAAAATTTAAGCAGAATTCTTTGTTTTCTTTTAAGTAATAAAATCTGCAAACGTACAGCATTATATTATCAATCCAAAACGGATTAACTGTGTAGCATAGTATTGCTTTCAATTTTTGATGAGGTAAAAAATTCCAACGATGTCATTCTCTGGTTTTTCAATTTTTCTTTCAAAGACTTTTTAAAACACATTTATTTTAATGTTAATTTATTTTTAAACGTTTATTAAGAACAAAACTTATCGAGAAAGGGTCCTTTAAACTTATGTACTGCTTGATTCAAAAATATTTTATAAGAAATGGCGAGTTTGAGTCTGCAACTCTCTTTTATTGCAATGGAAACATTTGTTTTGAAAAACATTTTCATACATTTAGTAGACAACTTGGTTAGTCTTAAAAATGTCGCTCTGAAGAAAAAAAGCAAATGAGGAGACAGTTGTCTCCTCTATTATTTGAATCAGTTGGTATCACACTAAATAAATGACAAAAGAAGTGACAAAGTTTTTTTGGTTTATTTTGTGTGACAAATGAATGAAATGCATTCGTCACACATCAAAATAAATTATTAATTCGTGAATCACTCAAATGAATTGTTATTTAAACTTGAAAGTACGCAAATTATTTTTGATTTGTAATTCGCTTTTTTAGCACTCGACTAAATAATATGGTTTTCTTGCTTTTAATGAAAGACATTCATTTTTTCGGTACCTCATAATAAACAGATAGTTCAGCAGTGACAAAAGTAAAAGGAAACCACATGCGGTTTAATTCATTATTAAAAAAAAATAGAAATAAAAATTTAAATGGGGCCTAAAAAATCTGAAATCAATCATTCTTTCCGCGAATTAGGTTTTGTTTACAACATGGCAAAATCTAATACGAATAATACATGTTTGATGCAAGTGCTAAACGAGGGATCATGTTGGTTTAATTTTAATAGAAAAAAATGAGTGAATCTGCTAACGCATGTTACAAAAATAAAATTTGAGATGATATTATTCATTCCAAAAGTTATTTCGAATCGAGATTTCCCTTTTTATTCACGTGATTATTTTGTGGTCGATACTAAGTGATGGAGTCACGTGATTCACTAAAAGGATCACGTTGTTTAACAACGCAAGAGTGTGTTGAAAAAAAAACTTTGTTTTTATTTTTTAGAAGTAGGCACACACATGTGTGAAACAGGTGTTCATGTTTTCTATTCTATAAGTGTTGTAACAAGCTGTGTTGTAAATAGATTTGTGAATATCTCGATGTTGTTGAAGCTCTTTTGTTTTTTTGTCTTAGATATTCTTCTCAGAATTTATTGTGACATAGTTCCTCTAATAACATTGTAGGTGTCCAATAAGCAATACCAGAAACACGTTTTATTAATAACTACAGATTATTTAGACATTTCAATAGTTCTGAAAGATCTCAAAAAAGTGGAATTCATCGGGACAAGGCAGTTCATAAGACACTCTCGGATTGGAGGATTTCAAATCAAGTGAACCAATAATGGAAGCCCTGCCTTAGTTTATTTTATAAATGCATTTCAGTTTTCGTTCGTCTGATTCCTTTCTACTGTATTACACAAATATAAGCAACGAATTTCAATGACCGTTAAAATGGCGCTAAAATGGAATGGACGCTTAGAAGGCACTTTGATTTTTCACTCATTTCCAGATCAGACTCACCCGATGATTGGTCGATACGAATTCCGCATCCTGCTTGAACCAACCACAGTGCTGACGTGTCTTCAGTGGTAGACGGATCATGGGTTAGAGTCCCCTTGCCGTCAGGCTATCCGGGGGTCTTCCTCTTCATGCAATGCAAATCCGGGTTAGTTCCCTCAAAAAGTCCTTCACGAAGGCAAATTTCTCCCAATACTTGATCCAGGAGTTCCCTTGTCTTCTGGATTGGGTTCAGAATGACAAGGTAACGTAGTTGAACATTAGTAGTCGTAAACCCAAAAATTAGGTGAATATTCAACGGTTATAAAAAAAAAATCTACAAAATTAGTTAGTTATATGAAAAATTCGTTAAATTGAAGATCACTTCTTTGAATACTTAAGCAACGCAAAGCAAGTTTTCAATTCATAAACGCTAGACATAATTAAAATAGTAATACACCTTTATCTTGTAAACTAGTATCTACTATTTATTTTATAAATCTTAACCCTAAAAGAAATCTGCATGAAAAGCAGGAATAGAACAAAACATTATCCAGTGTTACACTATCATGCCACATGCATTTTCAACTTTAAAAAATGCTAAATTTATGTATAAAATTATAGCTGCATTTATTATAAAAGTAATTTTAAACATACATTACCTTACGTGTTCTTAAATTTATTTGCTACTGATAAAATCCGTTAATTTTGTCTGAGTTTTCCGTTTGAAATGCAAACAAAAAGGGATTTTACTGCTTTCTCTAAAAGTTAAGTGACTTCGAGAATATATTCAAGGTCATTTCCTCCACAAAATTTGTAAACAAGTTTGAAATGTTCTGAAATATTTTAGGAAATAGGGAAAGTTGATCTCAAAGAAAAGTTCGTTAAATTGAAAATTCACTTCGCTATTTGAAAGTTATTTTACGAAGAAAATTCCAAAATGTTCTTGGTTCTTCGGAGATAACAAATCGCAAAATAGAAGTTCGTTAAATAGAAGCTCTACTGCATATCAATTTGTTCTTTAGAATAAAGATTTAACTCTCAGAATAAACTTTAGAATAAAGATCTATACTGTTGCGAATGCTTCAAGTATTTCGCAAACTGCACAACTGCCACCCGTATCGGAAAGAAAAACTAAATGACTTTTTACTTAACTTAATGCATATGAAAATTATGGTGTAATTACATTTATAATAACGAAAAAAAAAGAACTGCGAACGAGTCCGTAATTTTCTATTTTCACATTTCGCATTTTTTAACAGTTTAATGGATTCTATGTTTATGTAGCGATTTAAATACAAAATTAATAACAGAATTATTTGAAAACTGTTGTGAATTGAAAGGAAATACAGACGGTATATTGATTTTCTTCATAAATCTGATTTTAAAAGCATACTTATTAGAGAGTGAAAAAAAAATAGATAATTTTATAATATGATAATTATTTTTAATCCCAATTGGTAGGAAAAAAAAAATCAAGAATTTCTTGAACGAAGCAACTGTAGTAAGTGTTACAAATTTATGAGACGAGAAAAAAGTCTTCAAATGTATCATATAAAGAAATTCCTAGGGGTTTGACTTGAATTAAAGTGTAGAAGGAAAAAGAGATTGTTTTTTACATATCATGTTAATCTGTTGTGGCAAGACCTTTGTATAGTCGTCTAAATTGTGTCTAAATGTGTTTTGCTATTATTATTGTTTTGTGTCAATACAAAAACAAAATGAAGATTTCCCAATAAAAATGTTAAATGTATTGTTTGTGTGTCACTTTATTCAACACATCTGCAGATCTTATGACACACTTACAAGATTCAATATCCAAAAAGCGGACTAGTATACATTCATTTTAGCTTTTAAAAGGATCAGTAGAGAACAGTAATTAGCACTAAAATATATGCCATAGCCGGTCAAATGACCGTTTAAGAACTTTTGCATCGAAAATGAACACATTTGACTTCATGACTTTTTTTAACGATTATTTACAGTTAACGTACTATTATTATTATGATTTTTTTTTTAAAGAAAATATCTTTAACACTAAACATAACATAACCGGTCAAATGACCGTTCAAGAACTTTTGAATCGAAAATGCGCACATTTGACTTCATGACTTTTTCTAACGATTATTTACAGTTAACGTACTATTATTATTATGATTTTTTTAAAGAAAATATCTTTAACACTAAACATAACATAACCGGTCAAGTGACCGTTCAAGAACTTTTGAATCGAAAATGCGCACATTTGACTTCATGACTTTTTCTAACGATTATTTACAGTTAACGTACTATTATTATTATGATTTTTTTAAAGAAAATATCTTTAACACTAAACAAAACATAACCGGTCAAATGACCGTTTAAGAGCTTTAGCATCGAAAATGCGCACATTTGACTTCATGACTTTTTCTAACGATTATTTACAGTTAACGTACTATTATTATTATGATTTTTTTTTAAAGAAAATATCTTTAACACTAAACAAAACATAACTGGTCAAATGACCGTTTAAGAGCTTTAGCATCGAAAATGCGCACATTTGACTTCATGACTTTTTCTAACGATTATTTACAGTTAACGTACTATTATTATTATGATTTTTTTTAAAGAAAATATCCTTAACACTAAACATAACATAACCGGTCAAATGACCGTTTAAGAACTTTAGCATCGAAAATGCGCTTATCATCTTATCGTTTTTGCACATTTGACTTCATCACTTTTTCTAATAATTATATACACTTGATATTCTATTATTATTATTTTTTTGTTTTTTGTTCGTTTCGAATTTCAAGAAAGTACCTAAGATTTTAGATTGGCATTTTTAAGCAAGAAAAATTGACAAAAACTAAATGTTTTGATAAGTAGCTTATATTTTATTTTAATATAGCTTTACTTCATTTCTAATTTATTTTGATAACTTTGATTCATGTCTAACTGTTCGTTTTTATTCAGAAAAATATCGAAACAATCAAGACAACAAAAATTCTTAGAAGAAATAATATTCCTTCCTTCCTTAATGGCACGACAGCCCCGGGTGCGCCCTGCCCTTCTCAATCCTGCCTCCGCCTGGCAGTTGTCTTCCAGTTTGAGACTTTAAAGACTGAAAAGTCTCTTTCCACGCAGTCGGCCCATCTCAGCTTTGGTCGACCTCTGG